TGTGTGCTTGCATGTATGTGTGTGTGCGTGTGCATGTGTGCTTGCATGTATGTGTGTGTGCGTGTGCATGTGTGCTTGCATGTATGTGTGTGTGTGTGTGTGTGTGTGTGTGTGTATCTTGCAGGGTGTGTCTGGGTTGTGTGGTTGCAGGCTGCATCATCCTCCCCTCTCCAGCCTCCCTCCTCCTCTGTAGCCACCCTGGGATTGGTGACTCTCAGCCCCTCCCCTCAGCTCCCCCAAACCCTCCCAGAGCCTTTATCAGGGAGCCAGGACTGAATTTCTGCCACCTCCCAGATCCCCTCCACTCTGCTTTTCTCTTCCTTGCAGCAGCTCCGCAGTGTGTGGGGAGCCGGGAGTGCTCCTAGCCAGCTCCTGATCCTGCCAGTCCAGAGCGTCAGGCTCAGAGTGGCTCTACAGGTAGGCACAGGGGGACAGTATGGGATGGACTGAAGCTGGCAAAGGGTCAAGGGCCAGAGTTGGGAGAGAATGAGGCAGGAAATTACTCTTTGATAGGCAAAGAGTAATGGGAGGGGGAGTAGGCTGCTTGGAGCCGATGAGTATAGACTGATTCTTCTGTACCAGAAAGTTTTGCCTAAGTCTTGGTTATCTAGTACTGGAAACTAGCACCTTGGACCTTTCCTCAGGCTGGCTAAAGAAACAGATCAATGCATGACTGAAGAAACAGACATATCCTTTTCTTTAGGAGCTAGAGTCCTGGCACCGCAGCACCACAGCTTGTGTCCCAGGGTACATGAAATGTGTCTAATAGGACAGCAGAGAATCTGAGCCCAAAGGATGAACCCCTACTCAGAGACATGGTCCACCCTCTCTCTAGACTAGGGCTTGGATGGGACAGCAGAGGCTGACAGCAGGGATAGCCGGGATATTGGTCTGCATTTCCACAGGGCTGTACTCTCTACACCTTACCTGAGGCCTGTCTCTTCATCCTCCCAGACACCATGAGGAGCAGCCTGCTGTTTGCAGCCATCCTGGCCCTCAGTCTGGGTTCCAGCTCTGGGGCTGTCTGTGAGGAGTCACAGGAGCAGATGGTACCCAGTGGGACCCACAGCAAGGTAAGGCACCCTCTGCTAGAGTCCTGGGAACATCATGGGGATCTGGGGTCCTGCATGTCTGGATAGCTGTAGGGGCAAAATTGGGTGGGCAGGGTTGGGAGTTGGGTGGGTAATCCTGAGAGCGTCTTGTCTCCTTGTCCGGTCCTCTCAGGTTCCTACTCTTTCCAGGGTACATTTCTAAGTGTCTGTTTCTCTGTGTGTATTTGACACTTTGTCATAAAAGATGCCCTACAAATACATTGTTCAGCTTGTTAATTGACTGGTGACTTGGTGATTGGATGGTGTTGTGAGTGGTGAGCTAGGGAGGGTGAAGGCTTTCTGTGCTCCAGCTCAGCTTCTGTCCTTGGCAGGGGACAGATCTCCTCTATCCCTTAGGTGGTATGAAACAATCAGAATTTCTCTCATGTGGGCATTTACATACTACTTCATCTATAGATTATGTGTATTATTTTATTTTCAAAATACAAATAAAAATTCCTCTATGTTCTGTTAGCCTTCACCTCATAACTTCAAGTGCTCCTAAGATCCTTCTCTTTCTCTTCTTTCCCTTGCCTATCCTTAGTGTCAGCTTAGTCAGGATAACAAAACAAAAAACAAGAACAAAAAGCTAGGTTGAGCCCCAATTCCCAAAGTTTCCCTAAGAAAACAGAATAGGAATTGTTAGGGTTGGGGTGCAGGGAGGGGGTGCAGGGGGTACAGGGAGGAAGTCTTTTAAAGGTTTTGAAATGACAGCAATTATATTGGCACAAATGCTTTTAAGATGATTACAGGTGGGACTTATTACAAATTCAGTGTGTGAAGTCTAGCTGCTTCCCCAGATCCAGTCTGTTTAGCATCTCATTACAGGAAGTGGGCAGAGAATTCAAATAATTTGGGAAAAGTGGCTGCTGTGAAGCTGTTTTCTGGGCAGAGAGAGAGAGAGAGAGAGAGAGAGAGAGAGAGAGA